CCTTCCCCACACATCCACACCCTTTTGCACATGCTTGGGGGCTGGGAGTGGGGAGCAGTGGGTCAGGAATGAAGAGCACCAGCAGGGCCAGGGGGCTGCAGCTTTGGAGTAAGGGGCACTGGCAGGGCTGGTGGGCTGTGGCTTGGGAGTGAGGGGCAATGGTAGGGCAAGGCACCACCATATCAGGGCTGCTGCAGCTCTGGCCCCAACCTGGCATCAGAGTTGGAGCTGGAGCTGGAGGTGCTGCCTGCTCCTGACCCCCTGCTGTCTCTTCATGCTCTGCCACTCCTCTCCACAACCCCCAGTCTCCTCTCCTCCAAGCAACTTCTCCCTCTCTGCTTCTACTGCACTCCTCCTTACTTTTTCTTTATGCCTTGCTGCAGCCTAGGGCACAGAGCATGGCTCCAGCCTGGCCCCATATTTCATTTGTGGCAAGGCTTAAGCAGCATACAGCCTTTGCTGTGTCTAGCAATGGCACCTTCAAATGCACTATTCTAGTTCACATAGGCTATTCCCTGTACCTGGAAGCAGCATAGTCATGTCTACTCAGCCCTGAGGGAAGGTCCAGTGCAGCACACTGAGGTCATTGTTGCCAGGCAGAATAAGGCTGTGGTTTAGGGACAACCTTAGTGTACTGTAATGTCCATGGAGTAGCTCAGCGGCCTGCAATGGAGAATTCATTCCTTCTGTCATTCATTGTCCAGGAGTCATGTCTGGAGACTGAGATGCAGATCTGAGCTTTAATGAGTGCCACCCAGTAACCAGTATGCTAGGTTGACCATCTATGGAATCCCAGTACATGGATTTGGGCCCGAAGCTATTCTGCTTGCCATGGGAACCCATTGATCTCAGCTGTAAATGAGAACAGAAATTGTCCTGTCCTGTATATATTTTATGTGTATATTTAAAATTCACTGAAATCATATTTGAAATGAAAAATTCTGCTTTCAATGCAACTTGTGCTGACCAAGAATGGAAACTGTCTTTACAATGTTGACATAAATTGTCTTTTTATTTTAGATTTGGCATCATTCTTTCTATAATGAACTTCGTGTTGCCCCAGAAGAACACCCTGTACTATTAACAGAGGCCCCCTTAAATCCCAAGGCTAACCGTGAGAAAATGACTCAGGTAATGATGTGTCTGCTCTCATGAGTTAAATATTGTGCTGCAGGTCATTTCAGCACAGTGAGCAAAGGCTGAATAGTCCAGGAGACACAACTCCTACTTCATTCCTGAAAGGCATCCCTCCAGTATAGGTTCACTGAACACTGGCTGAACAATGTGGAAAAGCTTATATTTCTGCTCCCCTTGCAAACACTTCTACTGTCGCTGATGATAAAATATTTAGTAATTATATAAAGTAGTGATTTATATTTCCCAGTTTCTTACAAAAAGTAAGGGGAAGGAGAAATTAAGTTATGGCTTCAAAAGGAGATGGAGAGCTGCTGTTTCAGACCTTGCACTGCAACAGTCAGCTGTGCACGTGCCTACAAGTACAGCAAAAAACACTCCAATATGTTTCATCCAGGGCCAAAGTTTGGGCAGTTTATCTCACTCCTATTGTGACAAAGGTCACACACACATAAGTTAGAGTGTAACACCTGCTGTCTGCCCCTTGGCAGCACCTCCCCCTCCTCTTTTGAAGGTAGTACAAGTGTACGATTGTCCATATCCAAAGTCCTTTTGTTTCTTCACAATGGTGGTTGGTTACATTTTCCTATTTTATGCCTCTCAAAAGTGGGTCAAGGTTCACATTTTCAATAGGGGCTCTAATTCTGGCTAGCTCCTGAGAGCTCTTGCTTCCTCTTCTGCTGCTATGTCCTGGGAAAAAATTCCCTCTTCCTCCTTTCCCTGCTTCACTCAGCAAATTTACAAAGAAAGAAAGTGGCTGGGCAATCTGCCCACCAGAGAACTCCCCACTCAAACTCCCCTGTTGGCTGGTTCTGGTGTTGCTGGCTCCTGTTAAGTGTGCTTTTGTTAGGAAAGAAAAGCCAGTAGCACATTGTGTTGTCTTAATAGGAGAATTTCTTGCAAGTTAAAAGGAATTAATTATTCCACTCATATCAACAATGATAAGCCCTCCCTTGGAGTATTGTGTCCAGCTTTGGGGCCCCACTTCAAGAGAAATTGGTGAGCAGAGAACAACAAACATTATTAGATATCTGCGAAACATGATTTGTGAGGAAAGATTAGAATAACTGGGATTACTTAATCTGGAGAAGAGAAGACTGAGAAGGGATTTGGTAATAGTCTTCAAATTCATAAAGGGGGGTTATAAAGACGGTGATTGACTTCTCTGAAGCCACTGGGTACAGGACAAGTAGTAATGGTCTTAAATTTCAGCAAGTGAAATCTAGGTTATATATCATGAAGAACTTTCTCACTACAAGGGTAGGTAACATTGCAACAGATTACCTAGATGGGGTATGGGATTCTTAGACGTTTTTAAGAGCAGGTTAGATGAACATGTCTAGGATGGTTTAGTCAGGGATGATCCAGCCTTGAGCATTAGGTTGCACTAGATGGCCTGCTAAGGTCCCTTTTAGTCCTGCTTTTCTATAATTCTCTAGTAATCACAAAAGCTTTCACACAATGTAACAGTTCAAAATGTAAATTTGAATATGTGAGTGTAAACAATTTCATTTCCAGGAATCCCTTCCTTTGCTCCATATCAATTAAAATCTTTTTATCACATTTTCTGACGCCTTCCTGGGAGCTTGTGCAATTTAAGGTGTGTTGGAAAGCACAAGGCAAGGATAGTTGCTTTTAGCAACTGTAAAAGTATTGCTTTCACAGCAAGAGAGGCCTGGTAGTGTCTCCTTGCCACTACGAGATTAAAATAAATTCAGCATTCAAGTATTTTGAAGAAGTAGTTAATTATTTATCACTTATTAAATTAAGCCATTAATAGAAAATGAATTGTCTGTAATTTCAATGTTTTTTGTCATTGGAATGGAAGAATACTTTTTGCTAAGTATTTGTAAAGATATCCAATGACGAAATCAGGGATCTGCATTTAACTCAGTGGCTACACTGGCTCCTACTGGTGTAGATCCATAGTAATGATGGACTGTGGCCATAACATTACCCCTTTGAGGGGGAGAACATTTCCTGGAAGGTGGGTAGAACTGACTGGGAAAGTAATGCACCCACATAGTGAAGGGTATGTTAATTCAGTGTATGCCCATAACAGCCTTCCTAAGCAGAGTTCCTATAGACACTCCACTGAAAGCAACTTGGTGGGGGGGGAGGGGCACTAACAAATAGGGAGAGAAGTGTAAGTTATACCCTCTTGTATGAACCTAATTGAATGCCATATTTACTTGATTGTAAGACAAGCCCTCCCTGCCCCCCCCCCCTCCATTTAACATGGGGGAAAAGCCTCTTGTATTAGAATCACATACAAGGGTGGTGACGGGGCAGGCAGCTGCTATGGCTTGCGCCCAGCTCCTTCCCAGGGACAGGGCCATAGCTACAGCTGCTGCTGCCGCCTGCCCCTCTTCCCCATTGCCCCTGAACCCTGCCATCTCCTTCTCCTCGCTGCAGCTTCTTCTCCTCATCTCCCTTCCCATGCACCCTCTGCTCCCCTGTCTGCCCCTCCCCTTACCTTTGCTCTATGCTTGCCAGATCCATCCATGCTACAGCCCCGGGGCATTGAGCACAGCCCCAGCCTGGCCAATAGCAGTAGTGTGGAGCCCACGTGGCTGCTATGGGGGCTGGGTTGGGGCTGGAGGCTGTGCTCCATGCCCCAAGCTAAAACAGAGATGGAGCCTGCCTGCGCGGAGAAAAGGCAAAGGGGAAGGGGGGAGCAAAGGCTGTGAAGGGAGGAAGGGAAGCCGAAGCTGAGGCTGTGAAGGGTGAGGGGGAGCAGAGGCTGGGTAGAGGGGCAGGATGGGGGCCAAGGCTGTAGGGCTGGGGCAGAGATGGCAGGGGCATTCACAAGCAGGAGGCAAGTTACTTGACTTCCCAACACCATCTGCCTCCAGGGCTAACAGAGGTTAGCCCCTTTAAACATTTTGCAGTGGCCGGCGACAGCAGCAGCACAATGGCACCACCATCCTGCAGTGCCTGGCACCACTTGGCATGCAGCTGCAACTCCACTGCCGTGTACAGCACCAGTGCACACTGGCCCTGCAACAGCCATGAGGAAAGGAGGGTCAGGGGTCAGGTGGGCTCACCCCCCCCAAGTAATATTTCCCCCCACTGCTTATGCTGCCTGCCCCCCTGGAGTGGTGGTGGTGGGGAGGTGAATTAAAGACCACCCTCCAATAAGTAGATTCTATATATGGAAAATTATAATACGTTTATAAATTTTCCAGGTATGGAACCTGATTATTGGGGTGGTCATCTTAAATTTGAGTAAATATGATATGTCCTAATGTATGTCTGATCTAAAGCCTCTTGAGGTGAATGGCGAGTGTCCCATAGGCTTCAGTGGCATTTGGACAAAGCCTAAGCAAGCAGTTTTCTGCCTGTCAAATGTTTGTTTCTAACCAGGAAGTACTCTTAGTTTGTGGGGGGAGTTGGCATGAGCATATTACTGCAGGAACATTCATTGGGGAAATAGTGTTAATTGCTTCAGAGGTCTAGAGATACAATAACTTAGGAGAAGTGATGCAACTAGGAAGATTTGGTCAGAAAGAAGGTTAGGCATTGAGTCCTCTTTGCTTAGTTAATAGAGCAGGGATTAAGAGCCAGGACTTCTGCAGTCTTTTCCCCATTAAGCTACTCTGGGATTTGCCCTTGTCAACCTAGGCAAACTCTCTGTCTTAGTTTCTGTATTTGTAAATTTTGTATCACACCAATTTCACAGGGGTCACATGGACCTTAACTCACTTTTATAAAGTATTTTATTTTCACAGATGAAATGTACTGCCAACATGCATATAATCCATGCTATTGTAAGGGGACATTGTTGTTGCAATTACACATTCTTGGAAAACAGTTGTAAAGATTAATTATACTATTACCAAAATTGCTTGAACTCCAGGAATCAAGAAGATTCAGGAGACCAAATGGTTAAAAATAGTTTACAAACTTAAATATACTAACAACCCTATGTTAAAATAAAGAAGAAACTGGAACCATTCAGTTGATCCAATAAAAGATATCACCCCCCAAAATCCTTGCCTTTGGCATAATTCCTATATCATCATACTACATCACTCTAAAACTACCATGTTTATGTAGTTTATTTCTCTTTCTGCTTTAGACTAGTAGGGAGAACTTTAGCATCAGGATATACTATATTTCCAGAAAGACTATTGTTTTTGAAAAGGGACATAATTAAATTGTATTAAATAATGTGTTAAATCAAAACAATAAACTTTTAAATTAAAACATATAATATTTACATTATGTTCTAAATGCTATTTATAGTGTGGCCATGTTTTATGTGAATAAAATATATAATTTAAGTTTTCATCCCTTTGTTACAACACCATTTTATTTACACTAGTGGACATGGATGAAATTCATTTTAACTGATTGTTGAGAAGATGAGTTGTACAGATACACAGGCCATCAGGTGATGTAAAAAGTGAAGAAAATATTACTGTCTCTTCATATACTTTTCCTTCTAAAATATCTTAATTCTTAATTGCAGATCATGTTTGAGACATTTAATGTACCAGCGATGTATGTAGCAATTCAGGCAGTTCTATCTCTTTATGCTTCTGGTCGAACCACTGGTGAGTTTTTCTGGCAGTCTGGTTTTTTTATTTTTACTTTCTTTCTCCTTTCTATGTGCAGATAAGACCGCTGTACATACAATATGTATTGTGAGGAAACCATACTCAACTAGTTCCACACTAAGTTGCACAAAAACACCAGGGGTACTCATAACTTCATGGGAACTACAGGGATGGAACTCATTTCCTCCTCCAAGAGCGCAAGTCCCTACTTCTTATTTTTCAGAAGAATTTCTGTTAGGGATGTAGGCTGCCTATAGACATGCTCTGCTGTGTTCTAATTAGAACATTTTGGAGCAAACTCGTTTTATGAAGTTGGCTGGAGCATTCAATTAGAATGCTCCAGCATGCCTCACCATCACATGTATTAAGTGTCCCACGCTTCAAAATGGCCACAGGGATACTTTATCTAAAACTTGTCAAATGAGCTTTAGTTAAACCATCCCTGAGGCCATTTTGAAATGTGGGATGCTTAATATACATAATGGTGAAGCATTTTCATGCTGCTCTAATTAAGTGGCTCCCCCACCCCGAGCACATCTATAGACACCTATAGACTGTGTACACACACACACACACACACATCTCTCACAAACATATATATGTATATACATATACATACATACGTATTATAAAATATATTGTATATAAAATAATGTAATATCTATAAACATACTATATCTTCTGACACACAACACATATTTCCCCACCAAAAAACAGCTACTAGAAATTGTAGTGTGCACTATATGTAAGAAATTATACTACCATAGTAAGAACAGCTTTTCCAGTTACGGGCAAAAGTGAAATTAAATCTTCACTCAACTTGCTGGGAGCAGAACAATGAGCAGGCTCTGCTCCTTTGCTGCTGCTACTTAATTATTTACTACAAGAAAATATTGCTTTTATTAATTCTGCCTTTCAAAAACAATGTGTGTATTATATTCTGTGGTGTACTGTATGTGAGAAAATATGGCATATATAAATACATATATATTTTATAGTACATAATGCTTTATATATTATATATAATATCATGTACCATTATATAGAATATGAATGTATCTCACACACACACATATATTAATGAAAGATATATGTCTGTCATGAACATACCGATATAATATGGATAATAATAATGATGATCTAGTGTATAGATTGTGTAGACAACTCCCCAATAATTAGATTCTATGTATGGAAAATTTATAAATTTGATAGAATTTTCCAGGTATAGAATCTAATTATTGGAGGTTTGTCTTGAATTTGTCTCCCTTCCCACTGCTACAACAGGGAAAATAAATCTGAAGTGTTCTGTAGCACCTTTGCCCTCTCATCCCCACCAGTTCTTTCCCCTGCAGCCCCTTCCCCCTCTCCCTTACTGTCAGACTCTGCTGTCCCTGAGCACATCGAAGTGAGGGGCAAATTTGAAATAAAATGACCTTGAAATAAACACATTTACTGCTGCAGCAATTTGTGTATGCAGGCAGTCCTTGTACTTATGACACAATTGGTTCCTGAAAACTGCATCTTAAGTTGAAACATCATAACTCAGAACCAATTTTCCCAGAGGAATAATGTTATAAATGGGGGATTGGTTACTTTACAATGCTTGATAAAGCTGCATCCAGCTGGTAAGTTTGTTGTGCTGGAAGGGGAGGGGGTCAGGGAAGGGGCATGGGGGGGGCACATCAAGGCCCCCTGCAGTGAGGAGGGGAATGGGGCAGAGCTGGGACAGGGGCTGGGGTAAGCGCTGCCCAGCTGGGAAGGGGCAGGCACAAGATGGAGCCACACCTCATCCGGGAAGCACGGGGAGGAGGGGCGGCTCCTGCTGCTGCGCATTGCTCATCTGGGAGGGCAGTGGAGTGGGTATTATGAGGGGGCTGCGGCCACCTGAAAATTCACCATAGCCCCCCATCACCCCCTCTCCCAGTGCTGCCACCTCCCACCCAGAGTGCAGTCCAGTGCAGCCCCGGCCCTGCCTGCCCCACCCCTCCCCATGTAGATCTGGGGGCACATGCACTCCTTCATGCCCTCCATCCCCACCCAGACAAGTGGTAGGAGCAGCGGCGGGAGCCACAGGATGAGCCACCAGACAAGCAGCTGCCAGACGAGCAGTACGCAGCAGCAGAAGCCACCCCCATGGCTCCATAATGCACTCACCCCATTCCAGCTGGGCAGCGCTTGCCCCAGCTGCTGTCCCAACCCTGCCCCCGCTCAAGGCCAGGGGTGCCTTGATCTGCACCCTCATGCCCCTTCCCTTCCCTTCCCCCTCCCCCTCCCTCTCCCCATCCACCACAACAGACTTACCAGCTGGAAAAAGCTGTATTGAGCATCGTAGAGTTGAACCCCACATTGGAACTTTGAAACAGGGTGTCAATTTATAAACGTTGTAAGTACCGTTCATCATAACTCAAAAAGTCATAAATCGAGGATTGCCTGTAGTATCCATAGAATCTTAATTCACCCAGAATTGATGCATTTTTACCTTTTTTTGAAACTGCTGCAAGTTTTAGCACAGGTACTCTATAAACAAACTTTTAAGTAGCACTTTGGCACTTACTTATGTATAGAAAAACACTTTTGTCTGAAAAATATCTATCTATCTATCTATCTATCTGATTCACTTGACTATTCAAAAACACAAATCTATGGTCATGCCATCATCATCCTCATTATAATAACCACACAGTGCTCCTGTATGCCCATGCACCCATGTGCCCGTTGCCGTATTGAAACATTACAATCACACAAAACCACTTCAGTTCCCTACACCCCCTCTCTTTTCCACCCCACAGCTGCCTACAATCCCTCTGTTTCCTTCCTTATTTCTTAGCCCAATGTTTTCATCATTCTCTTTCCCCATGTTGTCCTCATCACGCCCTCTCTTCATGATGTTAGTCCAAAGTCAAAAGCCTCATGACTTACCACAGGGGTTTTCAACCTTTTTAGTAAGTGTACCCCCGGGGGGGAGTGGCAGCAAGTGGTTGGAAGCAGAGTGTCAGGGGGGTGGCAATTGGCCGGATGCGGAGTGGGGACATGGTGGAGTGGTGGTAGTGCAGTATCTGTATGGCCCTGCTCTTGCCCCACCCCAGCCCTGCTCCTGTGAGGCAGTGGCACAGGTTGGTAGTATTCCCACCCCC